ACTTTCATGTTTACTTTTCGTATGACCGTTACGATTGCTAGTTCCAGCGCTAGTTCTTTCACAATCACGATTCGCATCATTCGTATTGCTTCGCTACCACTAGTCACTAGTAGCTATCTTACGACTAGTTTCAGTACTGCTACGCGTTCTATAAGTATTATTCTTATCTGGGCCACTAGCTACATCTATTAGCACTTGCATCTATGTCCTATTACGTCCTCCGGTGTTTTACTACCGCTACTACTACCTGCGACTATTATTCACCAGCGTCTACAACTTACCAGGTGTGGTGCCCCTGCCACCGCTCCAGGGAGGCCCCGCCAAAACGAGGAGGGTATCGGAACACTATACCTTTTTCACGGTTTCGTGCCCCTCTCACCCCTCCAGGGAGGCCCCGCCAGAGCGAGGAGGGAATCGGTTCACGATACTAATGTCACGGTGTCGTCCCCCTCCCACCGCTCCAGTGAGGCCCCGCCAGGGCTAGGGATGGCATCGGAGCGCCATATTGTTTCTGCGGTTCCGTGCCCCGGTTGCACATCCAGGGAGACCACGCCAGAGCGAGGAGGGCATCGGAGCACCATACTATTTTCACGGTTTCGAGCCTCTCCCGTTCCTCCAGGGAGGCCCCGCAAGAGCGAGGTGGGCCTCGGACCACCATACTATTTACACGGTTCCGTGCCCCGCCCGCCCTCCAGCGAGGCCCCGCCAGAGCCAGGAGGGCATCGGGACACCATACTGTTTGCACGGCTTTGAGCCTTTCCCGCTCCTCCAGGGAAGCCCCGCCAGAGCGCCATTGAGGCCCTTGACACAGCCCACAGGGGCCCCGCGCGCACCCGCAGAGGCACCGCCACGCTGCCCGCTCGTGCCCCGCACGCAGACCACAGAGGCCCCGAGCGCGCCCGCAGAGGCCCCGCCACACTGCCCACTGCGGCCCGTGACACAGTCCAGGCCCCGAGCGCGCCTGGCGGCCCCACCACGCTGCCCACTGAGGCCCCACTGTGACATCTTTGTGTGGGGAACTCTGGCAGCATAATCTTCCTCGTTGCCACCCCCTGCATTTCCCCTCTGCTCTCCGCTGGTCCTCCTGCTCCTCCCACTTCTTCCACTCCAGTTCCTGCTGCTGCTGCTGTTCGTCCTTGTCCTCCTCATTCCTCATCCTCCGCCTTCTCCTTCTGCTCATCCTCATTCTCACCCGCCTCCTCCTGCCCCCATGTACGCAGCTACGCTTTTCCGATTGCGCATAACACGATGGGGTCTTTTTGGGAGTTCCAGGTCGGCTATGACACGCGCCCGCGCGGATAGAGAACAAATCAGCGCAGTGGAAAGGGATGGAGGGAGGGATACGGTCGGCACCTTTGTGATAGCGTGTCGCTCCGCCGGTTCTTGCCCACCCCGCCTCGGCACGACACGCCATCCACAGACCCGCCCCCCGGTGCTCCCGAGCCTTTCCGAGCCTTCTGCCCCGCGGAGCGGAGCGACACGCTGTCCGATTGCAGGGCACAGCGTGTCACCGGGGCCACCGCCGCGATACGCTATGCAACAGTTCCCGACCGTAGGATGTCTGCGTGGCTTGTCCCTACCTCCCTCCTTCCCCCCCGCCTCCCCGGCTCAGTCGGACGCTCCTCTCCCCTCGCTCCCTCTCCCCCCCCCCTCCCCTCGCTCCCTCTCTCAACCTCGCTCCCTATCCCCCCTCCCCCTTTCGTTCCCCCGTCTCCCCTCGCTCCCTATCGCTCCCTCTCCCCCCTGGCTGGCCATGCCCGTAGGGCATGCCAGGGGCGGGGGTGGAGGGAGAGGGAGCGAGGGAGGGTGGAGCGGGGGGGGGAGAGGGAGCGAGGGAAGACAATGGGCCGTGGTGGCGGGGGCGGGGGGGGCAGGGTGGAGCGAGTGGGGTAGGCAGCCCCCCCTCGCTTCACCCTGCCTCCCCCCCATCCGCGGCCAAGTCGGCCGCTCCCCGGGAGGAGCGGAGCCCGTGGCGCTCTCTGCCCGAGCTGACCAACTCCCGCGGGGCGCGCGCGCATGCCTCGGGGGGGAGTAGGGGGGAGTAGGGGGAGGAGAGAGGAAACGGGGGAGGAGGAGAGAGGAGGAGGGAGGCGGAGAAGGGGGACGAGGAGGAGGAGAAGGAGGAGGAGGAGGAGGACCAGTGTAAACCCAAGGGTCATCAACGATGTTGGAGTAAACCCTGCCTCCAGCCTCCGTCTTAATCGACCCCAACAACGGCTCATTTCCATTGATGGAACTGCCTCGTTGAAAGACACCCGTTTAAAGACCCTGAAGCATACCTAAACATTGTTCTTGGGATGTCAACGTTACGGAACAACCTTACTGTTGCGTCTTGACGATCCTGAATCGTGCCAGAGCGCTTTTCCGGGGACTTAAGCGCAGAAAATCACCGTAACTGCTGCACCCGCATTCCTGGTACGTTGATGATGGGAACCCGTGAAACTTTTGAAAATTGTGTAGACGAATTTGCGCGGCGCTAAGGCGAGAGCCACATTTTGAA